GTATATCTTGACATAGGGAGCTTATTTTTTCTCTTAAAAGTCGGCGGCTTGTTTTGAATCAGTGACAACTCAGGATCCAGGAACTAGGGTGTCTCTTCCACCACTTGCCACCTCTATGCCCCAGTGTAAGCCACAGAGTCTCTGGCCTGGGTTGTTTCTGAGACTCCCTGCTGTCTCTGCCTGCTTGCGGGCTTCGCCCCCCCCCCCCTGCTCCCCCCCCACTGGCTGCCCAGCAAGGAGAGGGATCCTTCTAAAAACCAGACGAGTTGTGGCACTCCAGCAACTTTCCAAAGTGCTTATCTTGACCGCCCTTCCAACCTCCTCCTCTGTTGTTTGCTCGCAAGTCCACTCTGCTTCAGCCTTTTGATGTTCTTGAGCCCTGCAAAGCTCTGTGCTGCCACAGGGCCTTTGCACCTCCCTCAGGGAAGCCTCATGGTTTGGTTCAAATCACATTTCCTTAGAAAGGCCTTCACTGACCACTCCTGTGGCACTCTGGTCTCCTGCCCTTTGTTTTCTTTTTGGCGCCTGGTACAACCTGACCTCGTGTCACATGATAGATGCTTTGCCTGTGTTCCCCTTGAGTGTAAGTAGGTCCCGTGGGGGGCATGGCCTTCTTGGCTGTGCTCACTGTTGTATCCCATCACCTGGAACACTGCCCAGCACCCTGCTGTTACAAATAGTTCTTTCTATTCATCCTGGAGCCCAGCACCTAGCACGGGTTGGCACATGGATGGGCTCAGCACGTGTTTGCTGAGGGGGTGAAGAACACAAACTTCTCTGCCAGCAGAAAAGGCTTGTAGAGGCTCCAGATGCCCTCTGCACACTGTTGAGCCCTTTGCAGGTTCTGTGCAGCAAGCATATCCTTGCTCTGTGTGGGCGTGGGCCATGGCTTCTAGTAAGGAGGGGTTCCCTGGCCTGGGCCAGCTGCTCTGGAGGAGCACGGGGACCAGGATTGCTATGCAGGAGGCAGCCACAACCACCCAGCCGCCCTCGGGCCGAGCCCAGTGGCTCACTCTTACATACTGAGATTTCATGGCCTAGGTTGGAGCTCCTCTGGGCCAGGTAGGGTCCCAGGAGATGGGCAGCCAAGGGAGCTGTGGCCAGACTGGAAGGTGGGGCCTGGATCTCCCACCCTAACCTGGTAACACCTGCCATGCCACTTGCCTCTTGGGGACCTACATGGGGGTGAGAAAGTGAGTGATGCCAGTCCCTGGGGACCAGGTCCTATTGCCAGTCCTAGAACTGGGTCCCAAGTCTTTACTTTCAGAAAAACAGGGGAGGGGTGCCTGCCTAATGGGTTAGTCGTTGTAACGAAAGCAGCCCTAGACGATACGTCAACCAATGAGCATGGCCAATACAACTTTGTGGATACTGACATCTGAATTTCTTGAAATAGGTTTCTTTTGATTTTTTCCAACCATTCTTAGCTTGTACACAAAGAGGCAGATAGTGGACCGGAATTGGCCTGTGGGCCATGGTTTGCTGACCCCTTGGTCTAAGCCAGTGGTTGGCAAACTGCGGCTCGCAAGCCACATGCGCTCTTTGGCCTCTTGAGTGTGGCTCTTCCACAAAACACCGGCTCTTCCACAAAATACCAACTTCTGCGCATGGGCCACGAAGTTTCAATCGCACTGTACGTGTGCGCCTGCACGTGGTATTTTGTGGAAGAGCCACACTCAAGGGGCCAAAGAGCCGCCTGTTGATCGCGAGCTGCTGTTTGCCGACCACGGGTCTAAGCCATCCTTTATTCGTGATAGAATTATTCCTATAGCCTACTGCCACCTTGTTTCTTTACTGCTCCTTTAAGAACCCAAGTCAGGTCATGTTCCTGCTCTGCCCAGAACTCTCTATAGCCCCCACCTCACTCGGAGTAGAAGCCAAAGTCCTCACCCAGCCTATGAGACCCTGCACCCCTGGTCAGCACCCTGCCCTCATCTCCTCCCAGTCCCACTGTCGCTCCCTCCCTCCAGCCACAGGGGTCTCTGCTCTGTTGCTTGAATGCACCAAGCATGCTGCACAGGCCATTCCTCTGCCTCCATGCAGATCTCTGAACTGCTCTTTCCTTCACTGCTTGACTCAATGTCCCTTTAGGGAGGCCTTTCTTAACTATATGTAAAAACTGAACACCCCTTTACTGCCACTCCTGTCCCCTTTTCCTATGGCACATGTCATCTATATATATAAAAGCCTAATATACAAAGTGTCCCCTTGGGAGTTTGACTGACTGGGAGTTCGATCACTCGCTATGACGTGCGCTGACCACCAGGGGGCAGCGCAGAATGAAGGAAGGCCCCGGCTGGCAGCTGGCAGCCGCTAGGGACCCTACCCATGTACGAATTTTGTGCACTGGGCCTCTAGTCCTCTGATATGTTATGTGTAACTGTCTCCATTCCCAGACTAAAATGTCAGCTCTGCATGGGCAAGGTTTTCTGTCTTCTTCCACCTCTGAATCCCTTAACAGTGCCTGCCTGGCTTGTAGTAGGTGCTCAGTCAGTATTTATGCAGGAAATGAGTAAGATTGTCTCCTCATCTGCCAAAGGGGGTTAATAGTAAAGGAGGTAATTCACGTGGAGGACGTGTCTCCGTGTCTGGCACACTGTAAGTGTGCAGGAAGCACCAGCTGCCGCCGCCTGTGTACGACTGGCAGTGTGGACTCCAGACCGGCTGTTCTGCAAGCTGAGCTCCCCGGGGTGGACTAACCTGCTTGCTGCACTGGGGCTGGGAGAGCTGGGCGCACAGGTTGGGGGCCGGCCTGGATGAGCTCCTCCTGCCGCTCTGGTCAGCCTGTGTCCACAGGGGTCAGCATCTCCGGCCTCTTCCAGTCTTCTGATCCAACAGTGCCTTCCTGCCCAGAGATATGGAGAGACAGGTGGTCACCAACCTCAAACTGGCTATGGGGTACAGGGGTGCAGATCTGGGTCATTTCTGGGGGATGGGCCTGAGACAGCCCTGGAGGAAGAGTATTCAGTTCCTGAGGAGCAGAGACAGATGGGGTCCTGCTCTTGGAGCTTGTGTCTGTGTGCCCTTGAGCAACGACTTGTGCTTCTGAGCTTCGGCCTCCTCCTCTGTGAAATGGTGTAACTGCCAACCTAAAAGGGAGCCAGTGGTGGTGGTGGAGGCTGTGTGCTCAAACCCACA